GCCTCTCTTGCCAGGGAGATCGACGTCCTCTGGACCTGGGCGTCGGGCGCGACTCCGGAAAGCTCTGCCGCCGAGCCCTTCGCCTGCTCCAAATTTATAGTCGCGATAGGACACAACGCCGCAGGTGGGTGGTGCAGACTGCAAAGCCGAACCGGCTGAGCCTCCGAAGTGTTGCTGTTGGCTAAAGTGGAGAAGGCAGGAGGCCGGGAGAGGAGCGTGAGCGTGCCAGGGCGCTCCCTTTGCCGGCGCCTGTGGTAACGTGGGTCTGTGCCGTGGGAGTGGGCCTCGGGGTGTCCGGCCAGCGTGGGTCTGTGCCGTGAGCCTCGGGGGGTCCGGGCAGCGTGGGTCTGTGCCATGGGAGCGGGCCTCGGGGGGGCCGGCCCGCCACGTAGAGAGCGTGCTTCTAGCCCCGAGGCAGCTGAGCTGTCCAGAGAAAGGCAACGTTAGTCTGGATGCGTAAAACGCAGGTTTTGTTACAGCTGCTTATTCCTCCTGTCAGGTCGCGCTAAAATGATGTGGGTCTAGTTGAAGCGTAGAAGCAAAGTAGGGTTTCGTTTTGGATTTTAGTTGGGACAGCCCCCCTTTTCCTTTATGTGACTTTTGTTGGGTAAAACTCTCCTGGATTGTTTATTAATTGGCAGAAGTTTTCTTCTAATAGTAGGAAGTTGCTCAGTGCAGCCTAGTGTTCTGAAATAGGGATCTGTCAAAGAGGTAGGATCATGGGTCAGTAAGCTGTAATTTCTTTAATGAATAGTGATTTTTTTTTTTTTTAAATTCTTTTCTTGATTAGTTGGCCCCCTTTTCACATTCTAATTCCCTACTTGTTCACAATGCCCTCTTTTGAGGTGGTTATTTACTCAGTTAGGCCTAGGGTCTTGAAACACCCTCCCCTCTTCCCACACATATATACCAAGGTCTTGAGGTTTTTTATTAGTTGTTTCCCTGTGGATATAAAGAAGTTTTACGTCTTCTTTATGTTTAGGTCACATCTAGGTGACATTTAGATGGTATCTAAGTTAACTTTGCTAACTTGTTTTTTCTTTGTTCAGGTTTTTCCTTGAAAAAATAGTTACAGATGGTTTCTGTTTAACAGTAACTTTTGACAGGAATTTGATTTATGAACATTTGATTTAGGATTTGCCACTAAGTCATGCATACGGTTGTTTCTGCTTCCTAGAGCCAGTGTAATAGTTCTGCCTTGTCGATTCAGTGATTTTTTTTTTTTTTTTGAGAAGAGAAATCTGTTGTATCTGGTATGTTAAGAAGTATTAAAGACTTAGTATACACTAAGGGTGTAAATATTAAAGGAATCAAAGCTGACCATAGTGACATAATTCCTAAGAATACACATTTTTGATGTTAGGGATCTCTGTATGTAGAACTCCTCTTTATCTTTTAAGTCTTGATGCATTGAGGTTACTCACATTCTTGATCTTTGCTGGATTTGTTCAACAAGTATATGTTGATAAAAATACGTTACTACATTTTTTTTAACTTGAGATTGCAAAGAAATAATCTAATTCAGTTCAGGTATTTATTTGTAGAACAGAGATTTTATTCTTTGTAATATAACAACGTTTACTGGTTTTTGCAGCTTTCCTGTCTTCTTTTATTCTGGATTCTGTATGTTGGGAAGTAGTTGGAGTCGTGAAGCTGTGGAATGAGTGGTGTCGAACATCCAACACAACAAACGTCCTCCCAACAGATTCTTTCTGTTTGTTCTACCGATTAGTATCAGATCCGACAGTAAGTGACCTATGCATGAATTCCTCTATGTTTTAGCTTTCTGAAAAAGAGAGCAACCTTCATCCACCCCCTACCCTGCCCAGGGCAAACAAAGCATTAAGGCGCTGCAGTATTCCGAATTAAATCTCATCAAAAATCTGGAGGGTTGTTATGCTCACTAAAACTATTTGATGTTCTGGCATGTGGAGTTCAGTACAAAAAAGGTGTGTGACAGCCTGATTGCTTCGCATCAATTCTGAATTAAAAATTCATGTTGAAATAGAGTTGAAGAAGCCCAAGAAAACTGAACAAGTTGTTGCCTGCAGTCACATCACGTGGTTATGAGCTGTTGTTGTGCTCTTTAAACCATTTGCTTATGTAACTTTTTCTTTTTTTAAGGTGTTGTTGTGCCAGTGTAGTTGCTATGTTGCTGAGGATCAACAGTTCCAGTGGCTTGAAAAGGTAAAACTGGCAAGACAACAAACCGAGCAATGAAATCTTAGGGGTGGGGATCTTCAACTTAGCCTAAGTGTCTCTTCATCTCTGATATTCTAAACATGACAGCATTGTAAAGAACTGTTTTCCCTGTGGCTTTCTTTCCTTAAATATTCAACAAATCAACAATTTACTATCTGCGGTTTCTGTGAAATTTCTTTCTAGGTGCTGCCAGTTGCATCAGCTCTAACTTACCAACTTTGTGCAATTAATTCTTTGGGACAGTTTCAATTTTGTTGGCCTTAACCAAAAAAAAAAACCAAAAAAAAGCCAAAACCTTTTTCCTCTTTGGCTTAAATTTCCTATGGCTTGTTTCAGCTCTGAGAGAATCCTTCCTTAAGAAACAGTAACATAACTGCATTTGTACAGCTGCCAAAGGGCTGCCAGGCAAGCCTGTTGTGAAACTCCTGATGGATGGCGTCTTTACTCACGGGTGTGCCCTGTTCCTTTCACAAGGAGGAACCCTAAAGGAAGGTGCCTCCAAAGCAGTATGGCTTATTTTGTCTTGCTGTCTGTCTGCTGACCTCCCTCCCTTTAAATTTGATGAACAAGCAGAGATTCTAAAGCTATTACGTTACGCTGATGTTGTGTAAGGCTGTGGCTAGAGATACAAGGAGGGAGATAAAAAGCGCTGTGTCCGCTGAGAGCGCGTCCTCAGCCTGAGGTGAGCGATACCCGCCCAGCCCAGCCTGCCAGCTGGCCCAGCTGGTGTGTGAGAAAGATTACTTGGTTGCGAGGGAGAACCATGCGAGTATCTTGCTGTGAGGGAGCCAGAGAGATTACGGGAAGGCAAAAAGGATGGAAAACCGGGGTAGCTTCACTGAATGATAGAGGGTTTTCGGACCCAAGTTTGTGGAAAACCAGCGTTTTGTGGTTCCTTGGCCTGTTGAAATGCTTTAATTTGCTTTGGTTGGGGGGTAATGGTTCACCTTGAAGTTTAGAAACCCTAAGACCTAAAATATTTTGATTTTGCTGTATTCCACACATTCTTGCGCTTCATTTGAACTGGGATTACAAAAGAAAGATGGTTGTGGTTTTGCTGTCTTCCCCATTTGTATTTTTCCAGCTGTTTGTGCATATGCGTTATTTCAAATGTAGGTGTTCTTGAGCAGTAGGAGTGTACAGTTTTATCACATCAGTGTTCTTGAGTATTTTTAGACTTTGTGGTTATTGGTATTTTTAAACATACAGCAAAAACGTTGTGCTGGTGATCTTTTGCTTTTAGTGTGACTTACAGACCTAGTCCATATGCTTTATAAATTCTGATTCACCGAGCACCTTCGCAGTCTCCAAAAGTCAGATTTTTTACTTCTGTATGTGTTTCCTCAGTAAGGGATCACTGACAAAATGAGAACATGCAGACTAAAGTTTCACAGTAATGCATACCAGCCAATGTTTCCAACAAAGTAAATTGAAAATATGTGTGCTTCTGAAAAGTTAGACCAGTTTTATATTACAGTGGTAACACACTGATGAGAGGGAACAGTCAGCTTCCCCTCTGTGATTGGTGCCATATACAGAAACAGGAGAGTTTCTCTAGTGTTTACCAAATTCCGTACTGATCATAACTCTGAAGAGGACAGTGTGAAGGGAAGGTGCGGGTTTACCTTGTTTCTACTCATTTTGACATACGTTCTTTAAGAACAGTGGAACACTGTGCAGCGTGTTGGTGGTTTGTGATTGCATGCAATGGATCCAAAAGTATGTTTTGTATAATGCTTGTCAAACTCTCTTCTTTGAATTTAAGGAAGGCTGGAAAAATTAAGGTTCTCTTTCTCAATTCAACCTGAATATAATTAAATAAAATCTGAATATTTAAAACAAAGACTCTTTCTAAGTACTGTAGAATTTCTGGGGAGCACGATTTCAATTTCAAATGTCTTGCAGCTTAGCAAGCTGCCTGGTTTTATTTGGAGTTCTTTTTCTTTCTACAATCACCATTAGTAAAAAGCAGTAAGTCTTAATGTATTTGCAGATGAATAGAAAGTGCTCAAAACCTAAAGCCTCTCAAGAAAACCAATAGACTTGCTAAATATGTTAGCTGTTCTTTGTTTTTTTTTACCTCCATCCCAAGAGCAATGCATGTGAAGTTTCTATCTGAAGGTTGTGATTCAAATTTTAGTTAGTCCTGCAAACCTGAATTTAAACTGCCATTTGCCATCTGCAGTGAAATTGAAATTAATCTTTTTTTATGCTGTTTATGCTGTTTCTGTGAGAAGATAAATTTTTCTTATGTATTGGCATTTTTATTTCAGGTTTTTGGCTGTATGCAAAAGGAGGGCTTGCAAGTAACCATTCTGTCAACATGTCCTGTAGCTGATTATAAAACTCAGGAATCCACTCTGACACTTCCATCTCCATTTCTGAAAGCCTTGAAGACCAAAGAATTCAAAGAGCAGGTCTGCTGCCCACTGCTGGAACAACCTAACATTGTGCGAGATCTTCCTGCTGCTGGTATTTTGCAATTCCAATTATTTTCAAGGCTGCTGGTGGCAACACAAAATTCGCTTTGAAGAGCAATTAGAATTTTTAACTAATTTTGTGAACTGGCTAACAAGTTAGCATTTTGAAAATTAATTCCTAACAGTTTGACATCTCACATGTTGCCTTGTGAAATAGGGACAAATTTCAAAACCACCCACAAATCCTTTTACCCTTTGTATTGTATATTGGATTTTTTTAGCATTTTAGTTACAAACTAAGTACTTTTTATTAAGAGTTGTTTTCATCTGAGCATTCGAACTGAGGCTCAGAAAGTCCTTTCTGCATATTACAGGTAATTAGGTTTGACAGTGCTACTGATCGACCTCATGTAAAAGTTAGATTCAATTTTACTATGTAATGCAATAAAAATCTGAGGCTTTTCATTACAGAGTACCAAATTAGCGGTAGCATCACAAGGAAAAAACTTATCTGGCAGGAGCTAAAACTGGATGATTTTTCTAGAAAAAGTTTTTATCTTGTTTGCACTTTGTTTTGAGTTTTTATATTTGGTTGGTTTGGGGTTGGTTTTCTGTTTTGTTTTTTTTTTTTTTACAGAAGCTTGTATGATTTTTGTTTACCGATAACATACAGTTTCCACTTAAGGTATTTGCCAGGAAGAAATGCCAACTGCATTTTACTAATTTTTGGTGCATTATTTTCTTGTGTACCTGAGGAATGAGGGATGGCCAGTCCAGCAGTCAGTATACTGAGTAGTTGGTTAATTCATAAAACTTCCATGCTTCTGAAGGTCTTGCCAGAACAAATGCAATTTTGTCCACAGATTTTTTTTTTGCTGAACCTAACACATTTTTTATTTTGACTTGTATTCAGTTTTGAGTTATTGTCAAGTATGGCAGATTCCTGCAGTGTTGTATCAGTGCTACACTGATTTCATCAAACTGGACACGGTTACAATCGAAGCGTTCAAGCCTCTGCTTTCTTCTAAAACCCTGAAGAGTTTAGTCAAGGTAAAATTGTGTATTTAAAAATTAATGGGAGGTTTGGCCTTTTCTGGTCTGTCTTTCATCTCTTGCATTCTGCTGTTGATGCACTCCAATGAGGATTCCACCTGAAAAGGCTGATAAGTGTAATGTACAGAAATGCACAGACTTTATTGGCAGAGGACAATGATTTCTGGTATAGCACCTGCTGTAACTATTTACATCTGTTTATAAATTGCTTAGAAATAATGAATCCGCAGCTTCTCTCAAAACTTCATTTTGACTGTTCAGGCTCTTGTGGTGGTATTAGTATATCAGAGAGTGATTTCTTGTGGTTATTTTAAGCAGTGGGTTTTTTTGGAGGTATCTCACATTAAAGAAAAATAAGTATACTTAAAAGTTTTAACATTCTACATTCATATTCAAGATGGCTCTGCTTTAGCTCTGTATCTACCTGTCTTGTGCAATACATGAAAGCTTTTTAAGAAATTTATTTTGGCCTATAACTTCTTTTTGGAATGAAAAGAGTGAATTTCTAAAGATGATTCTTAACAGTTCCACACTAATCAAGCAGCTCTGAAATTGTAGCATTATAGCTACTAAAGTGAATGTTTTGCTTCTTCCTGAAACATTTTTAATTGAAGTATAGTTGGTTCAAAAAGCTCTCCTCGCTTTTGCCAACTGAACTTACATTCCAATGACAGAAGAGGTTTCTGTGTACAGAAGTATTTATTTCAGCTTTAAATGTGGGATTTGTGAGTTTTCATTACAGTTTATACTGGCCTGCTAAATAAGGCTAACACACTAGTATGTAAATGTTTAAGCTCTGAAGGAAAACAATCGCAAATATGCAGGTTCTTCCTCTCGTGTACAAGTGAGGAGGAATGCAAATTAACAAATTCCATGCTATCGTTGAACTGCAAATTCATTTGGAGCCTTTAGCAGGTCTCTGGATACCTTCACTTGGAAGACCTGAGTTGTGCTCACAGTTAACATCTTAAACTGATATTCAGAGCAATAAAAATTGGAGTAGAGGACAGTGAGGCTTTTTTGTTTTGTTTTGTTACCAGCAGCGTAGCTAATGCTGATCATCTCTTCCTTTTTCTAGGATGTATCTGAAAGCACAAAGATTTTGAAGAAGTTACTGACAACCAATGAAACTCACAATAATATCTATATCTAAAGAGGACGTTTATGACGCAGACTGCACTTTCGTAAACTCCCGTTTCTTCTGTAGAGGACATTTTGGAATTGTAGTTGTTTCCTTAAAAGTGGAATAAATTCCAGTAGATTTTTACTTCTGCGCTCATTTTTGTTACTTTCTAATTCATCACTACAAACACATGCAGTTCTTTTGCATGGCTTGAGAGACGTCCTTCTGGAGCGACTTTAGGAAAGATACCTTGAGTACGAAAAGCAACTTCTTTTTTTCTCCTCCTGAAGGGATTGTCTTATCTAAATGTATACCTTTTATATGTAAGAGAGAGGAAATGCAGTTAAGGAATTCTGTCTATATCCAATGAGAACACCTATTTTTTACTTTATTTTGAGACACACAAGTTTTCCTAATACTCGATCCTCTCTAAAAATTTGTCTGTGATGGAGAAAACACGCTCTGCATCTGTTTACATACATAAATATTTATAATTTTTTGTGTGTGTATGTATGAATGATACATATATACATATGTGTGCACATACTTCTTTTTTCATGTACGTGTTGATACAAAGTATAGTAAGTACAGTATGGTAAATACCTTTAAAAGACTTACTAGTGGAAAATAAGCTTGTTTTACAAACTAGTAGGAGGCAGGAATAGGGGGCTGTTTTGAACGGCATGGAAGGGCTGTGACTTGGATTCACCAAGTAGGTTGTCACAGGCGTTTCGGGTGCTGCTGCCTGCAGGTCTGGCAGGAAGAGAGGTGTGCCCACGTTCAGATGCTGCAGCCCCCATTGACAGCGCCTTGCTGAGACCTCGCCTCTGTTGGAGGTTTCAGCTTCAGGCCTTGAGCAGGAGCCATGGAGGGGCAGGAGCGTTCCCTGCTGTCAGATCTCTCGCAGTGGTGGGAGCCTCTCCCAGTGAGACGGGGTGGTAGGCTCGCAAGCCGCTTCAGCTGGATTTGCCAAGGCAAACTGATTAAATCTATCCACTTTAAAACTCCAAATTGCTGGCAACGGTAGGAATAGTACAAGATCTTCTAGGCAGAGTATGTGATTCTTAGAGTAGAGCAAAAGTTCAAGTTTTAAAGTGTCTCTGGAAGTTGGTAACAATTTCAGCAGTGTATTTAGAGATTGGCATGCAGCTCTGACTTGTATACATCCTCTGTTTAATTTAACATTTTATTTAAGAAAATGGTGTTAAAGATAGTGTTTCTGTTGCTACCAGGTAATTCGCTGGTGGTGTCACTGCACAGAGATCTTTAAATTGCATTTGGCTTATCCTTTTGGAACACAAGGGTATCAGCTTCAAAGTTCTCTACTAAGTTTAACTGTGACTTACAGTGGCTGCCCAGTGGGCATTTTTGAACAGTGTATTCCTTTAATGGAACTGTCATCCCTTCAGGTTTGAAAGTGGTCGGCTTAGTCAGCCTCCACTGAAGCAAGTAACCCCTGGTGTCAGTAGGCCCACTACAACTTCTGGTTTTGGAAATTTTTAACAGCACCCTGCATTGCAGTTTCAACGGTAGTAGAATATTCTGATGTGGATATCGAGTTGCGTTATCAGTTAAGACATTGATTTAAATTTCTGTTAATATAATTACGGATAAGCAAGCAACTGTTGCTTTAAGCAGTACTGTATTTTGGAACAAACTCTGAAGCATGAAGTGCCAGGACATGGTTCCTCCTGTTTTGTTTTTTTTCTTTTTTTCCATTTCTGTGCAGCATTTTAATTAAAAATCTGTTTGTATGCGTGATCTGAGCTGAGAATTTGTTGCTCCGAGAGTTCCACATTGGCTGCACCGTTTTCTTACTTGTGTACTAAAGGCGGTTTTGATTCATAATAAATAAAGTATAAAACAAGAAGTATCTTTAATAATAAATACGCAGGAATTGTGAGTATACTTCTAGTATTGGTTTATCACCTGTGGAGTTTGCAATGTTTCAAAACAGTTATCCTATCCATGAAGTGTAATTCACTTTTTACTGCCTGGGTGTGGCAATACCCTTAAACACCTTGAGTAAAAGTGGCAAACAAAACACTCCAGCAATTTGGAAGATGAAATTAGAAAGTCTGAGAACTGTTGTATTGGCAGAATGCTCCGAAGGCTGATTGTTCTTCCTTTGAAGGGTGCAGTAGCCCTCTGTAGCTGGAAATGTTTACGTAGGAGGTGGTGCTTTTTCTGTTGGATACTCTTCGAGCTAGCGGTTGCACCCTGCGTATCCAGGTGTATTTCTGTGATCCACATCACAGATGAGGTCCAGCTTTGTGCAGCAGTAATCCTCCCTGGCATGAAACCATATAGGCCAGGGCACACGCACACCATATAGCCAGTAAGACTCTCCCTCATCAGTGTCAGCTCAATTGTGCTGTGTGAAAGGGAAATGCCAACCTTTTCCAGTACATGGTAAGTATTACAGGGCAGTGAAAGAAGGTATTTTAATTTAAAATTCCTTCTATCTTTTTCCATAATTTGATGTGTGAAGTAGCTCATATTCCCTCCATAAAACAAGTAGTTCTGGAAGCATCAGAACTAACGATGCCCAAGATGAGATGTGAGTGTTGACTGGAGATTTTTTCATATTTGAACATTGCTAAGGTGTTGGGTGTTTTTCTTCTACACTCTCCAGTATCTAGTAAGAGCCTGCAATAAGGTTTTCTTTGTTTCTAACAGCTGCTGGTTTTTGTAATACTTAGAGGAGCATGTAAGCTTCAAACTCTTTTGTCAGATACGGCAGATGGCTTCAAAAGCTGTGGGGGAAGAAGTGCATTCTTGCCTCCGTGTCTGACATGTGGTTGTCTAAGACCTGCTTCCTTAAGGTATTGGGCTGAATGCAAACAACAAAACCAGACAGAGTGAACTGTTAGACTGGAAGAGTTTTCTTTTTCCAGTTTTCCAATCATCTAAGCCATTTGCTACCCGTTTTTTGGGGATTTTTGGTTGGTTGGCTGTTTTTTTTTTTCAGAGAACACAGAGTTGTCTTCTGTCTCCCAAACCAAGGACACTGCCTCTTCTCAAGTTTAATCTGTTTCATCATGCTGCAGAATGTATTTGGTAGGCAGACATATTCTTTCATCAAAGGCTCTGACTCAAAGGTGATACACCTGACCTAGTAAGTCCTGGAATCATGGTGCTCTTTAATGAGGCTCCTTAGCTTTTGGCTTGTAACATGTTGGTGTCTGTGTAGTTCACGTCACCGGTGTAGGAGTACAGAACTGTACAGACATAGTCAGAAGGTAATGTCCCAGCCAGGAAATCTGGGTTTTATTTGAATTTGTTACAAAACCTCCATGTTTGAATGCCCAAAACAGCAATATTGCTGCTATTATGCTTTCATATTCCCTATGGTTGTGGTCACATACAGTGCAATGACTCTCCAGTAATAAAATTCTTGCAGTCTTTTGAAAATCTAGCATGAAAACGTTATGCCTGGCTCTGCTTCCTGAGCACTTCTCCATCCTGTTATGTTCCTTCTGGATTTGACTGGTACATCATGTACCAGTTCTCTTTCCTGTATAATTTCTCCTTCCTGTGTGCCATCAGCAGAAACACTGGCACTGTGCGCAAAAGCGTGAGCCCGAATGTTCCTGTTGGAGCCCAGGCCTTCTGTGGCACTGAAGCAGGGGATGTTGGAGCTCGTGTCCCGAAGGTTGCTTCCAGTGACTGCCTGCCTCCGGTCCAGTAACGTGCTCCCTGAGCCTTGTTCACGTACTTCTGTGTTCCCACTGCACAACAGAGATGAGATAGAAAAGGGCTTTATTCTTTCGTCAATCCATCCTTGATGCTAATGCATGATGCCTGTCTCTTCCCCCTTCCTATGTGAAGGTCTCTTCATCTTACTGCATGGCTCTAGCAAATGATTTAAGTCTTACTAGACTCCAGCCTTCTTATACTGGCAGCAAATACCTTAGGCTCCACCCTGCAAACTGCTTTGTTGCCAAAGCCTCAGAGGAGGAGGCTACATTACCTGACATAATTTTACAATTTCTATGCCAAAAACTGTATTAAAACATTTGGGAAGTCAAATAGGCAAAATTTAGGAAAGTCCTGGAAGTTTGCCCTGCAAACTTTAATTCAGTCCCCACCCGATGCCTGAAGACGTTTGCATCTTTAATTACAATGTTAGGCACTTTTTCCCAGATAAAGCTATCCTTCTAAACGGCAGTGCTCTGTTACAGCAAGGTGGAAGGGAGGAAGCTCAGGATGAGATTGGTGGTTTCATTTCTCCACCGTGTTGGAGAGTGTGATAACTGAGGCACGGGACTACTCCAGTGGCCCATAAAGGAGGAATTTGTTTCTGCCTCAACTTCAGGCAAGAGTTTCTTTAGTAATGCTAGGCAAGCCGTGTAAATAAATGACAATTTGACATGCAGCGGGGATCTGTATTATTTTGTGGGTGAACAAGCTGAGGTACCTGGAACCTGACTTGCTGACGTGTTGAGCGCTCGCAAGATGAGTTGTAAGAACAAGGCTGGATTAGGTTGCTGAAAGTAGAAATTGAATTACTCTAGTGAAACTTGAAAACGTTGGAAATGTTGCAGGTAATGAAAAAGATTTTTAAAGAAGGCAAGCATTTTGTCTAACCTCAGATATTCTTTCTGGTTTTTTTTAAAATGTTCTGTTTCGTGTCTAAAGCATTGAAAAAACTAAATGAGCTAAGAATGAAATGAAAGTAGGAGAGATTATTTTTTTTCAATGCAATCAGATCTGTATTTTTTCCCTTTAAATATTTTAGACTAGAAGTTTTGACAGCTGCTGCATGTAACAGCAACCAACATTAATGGGCACCTCTACCTAGCCGAGTGAGATCAGAGCTCTGAGGTAAGACTTCCTCACTTTATAGGAAACACTGAGATGCTGTTGGTAGATATCCTCGAATAGTCGATGAGCAAAATACTGTGGGAAACCATTAACTCACAGGGTGAAAATGCAAATCACTGGTTTCGCTTTGATAGCAGGGGATCCTGAGACGTCTTCAGTGAGGGAAGAGCACCGCAGACCCCAAACAGTATGCAGGTGGGAGAAAGTTAAAGGCTGAATGGGAGGCTGTAGTCTCAAATTTTTTACTTCAAATAATTGTATAACCAAGTGTTTAAATGTTCTTTGTATGCACTTGCCTGGGTAATTGCTTTAAAGTGGAAAATGTTGTGTGAGAATGGTGATGTACCTTCAGAGGGCAGTTTCGTAACATAGGCATTTACTGAAAAGACCCTGGGGTCCTTCACCTGTGTTTTAATCAGTGGACTACAGCATGCTTTCATACGCTAGAACCACTGTATTTCTTACATTCAGGATTGAAATTTGAATTCTTCTGTTAGGTCTGATTTGGACTTGGATCCCTTTTCAAGGTTTACTGAAGTGAAAGCCATCTATATTCCATCAGCTTTATAGACTGTAAAGCCAATCTGCTGCTTCGTAGGGAATTAACAAAAGGGGGAATGAACATAACAGAGTCACAGTCACTGAAGGCAGCAATTCCGTTACTGAACAGGTGAATGGTGAATGTACAGCCGTGCTTAAAGAAACCAAATAAAACCTGTGGGTAGAAGGGTTGTAGCTGGAAGGTTGTGTGAGAACAGAGACAGCCAGTATGGAAAGGTGAGAGCACAGTAGAAAAAAACCTTAGCACTGACCATCCTATAAAATTAGGGTTTGAGACGGTGGTTGTGAAATAAAAGCAGGTTGTAAGATGGGTTAGCTATTCCCTGCTGGCCTGAGTAACATTCTTGCAGGTCACAAAGAATGCCTTTGTGCTGTTCCACTTAACTCCCTTCCAAATTGGATTGAAAAAGGTATTTTTTTGTGCAGAATAAGCACAGTGTGCCTGGCTATTTCCATCCTTAAACCCTGGAGGACACTTGCAAGAAACCCTGCGGATGCTGTCAAGGAACAAGCAGTTCTTTTGTTCATTACTTAGAAAGTGCTGGTGCAAAGCTCTTCAACCTGAAACCAGAATTAAGAGTCCCCAACGTAGCGCTCTCGGGTTGTTGGGTTTTTTTTCCAAGTGGCAGGAAGCAAGCACGTTAGAGATAACCTTGTAGCGCCATGTGTGAGGAGATGCTCTGCAATCGTGGATTCAGCAGATATGGCAATTCAGCACCTCCCTAACAGTTTTTCTGTTTTCTTATGTTTGTCCACTTCTCTATGAGCTGTATGAGAGCATATGTAAGGAATATTTACTTTTAACGACTATTGAAATTTAGTGGGGTTATTTTAACAAAAAAAAAATTCAATCTGTGGGGTTTTTATAAACAGACTTATACCCAGGTGTTGTGCTAAGCACATTTTCTATATGAACATGAACTTCGTCTCCTGCGAAGCTTGTTGCACAGATCTTACAGGTAAAAATCAAGTACGAATCCCCACAGTTCCCAGCTGACGCCCTGTCTGGCACGTAAAGAAATTCTGGATGGTGCAGGTTTGTCTAGTGTAATTTTCATTGAAAGTTTTGTTGCCTCCAACTGTGAGTGCTCTGTTTTGTGTCCTATTGGACAATGAGCCCATTATTTGCTTTTTCTGAGCATCCCAATGTGGAGGTGACCGAGAGGTCAGATAATCAAAACTGCAAACTGGTTTGTTCTGTCATGCTCATTTGTGGCAGTGCTGCTTTCTAAGGCTTGTGTAAATTTTAGTTTTTCACTAACTTTTTCAATTAATTTAGTAATTATCTTAAAAAAAATCTGGACGGAAACATTTCTACAAGTCAATGCTGGAGATCAAATTTCACATTGTCTCAGTTCCGAGGTGGCTTTTGACTCTGTTCTGATTTGGGCTCAGCTGTGTCTGACATTATACGGACATTCACAGTAAGAGTCCCGTACT